AAAAAAAAAAAAAAAAAAGGAAGACAAGATATTACAAAACCCAGTAATCCTATAAATACATTGGCATATGAGGAAATCAAGTAACAATACAGAGGACACAAAACAAAACAAAAAAATTAATCACAGGTGAGATTCAAGCTTGCAAATACAATTAACTCCATAGCCATCAACTTCACCCAAGAGCAACTCTATTATCTCCAAGACAGCCCCACCAGCCCCCCCAGAGCAACCTCCTTTCTTCTGGCTGGCCACATTTCATTGACCCCAGCACAAGGACTCACACAGGAGTTTATTTGCAATTTTCACAACAAGAAACAAGGAAGAGAGGTCAATTTGTACAAACTCTTGCCAGTGCTATGTGGCAAAAAAATTAAAAACATACAAAGAGTAAACAAGTTTAGACCACATGGATAGATTAACAGCTGTTTTAACTCTATAACCACCAGACATCTGTAAAGGAAAACAAAAACTGAAGTGTGGTTATTTGGGCTAGGAAGGCAAGTATATATAGTTTTAGGTAAGCTGTCCACTAGAACATCTGGTATCAGCTACTTTTCTCTAAAACAACATGGCAGCTCGTCAATTAGTAAAGTTGCCTCTTACGATTTTTCCCAATCAACAACTGACAGTAAAAATTTTCCTTTAGAAACCTGACCTTTTAGAACCATTTTTAATGCTAGGCATTAGCTTAAACTTCCTTTTAACACTCACTGGTGACTAAAATTCTCAACTGTTCATATAAATTTATTATCATCTTAAAAATGTATGCAGTTTTATCTTCCATAAGTGCTGCTGTTACTTGAACAAAAACTTCTTTGAGTAAGTGAAACTGGAATAAATATTTTTAAAAAATTCTGCAGCAAGAACCTGAGACTTGCAAAAAACCCTTTTATCAGAAACTTGCTACAAAAAATCTGCTACATTTTATTTAATCAAATCTTAAAGTTTGTAACAATTTCCATCAAAATACAAAATGCTGTTAATGTACCAGACACAAAAATATCTCAAACAGGTATGATGCTAATAAATACTAAATGAAACATGAAAAAAAATCCCATAATCAAATCCGAGATCAAAGAATCTCATTTAAAATGTGTTTTCTGCTTGTTTTTGTTGTTTTTAATCGCACTTTCCCACCTAAAAAATACAGTGTTTCTGCATGGGTTGCATTTAGAAGGTGTAACTAGATGTACGTGAATGCTTAAAACCTTTTTCTGCCATTAGCTATAAAGAAAAACAGTGGCATTCAGGGGAGAAAAAGATCTAAAGACAGAATTATATTTAACCACAATATACAAAGCACTTTGGAATACTGCAGTAGCCCAAGGTCCGTGTTTTGTTTCTCTGCAGTGCTATACTACTACTAGCCGTAGAGGTGGAGACAAGTACCTTAGCTTCAGTTTGTAAATGGGAGCAGAGTGACTACAGTCCTCTATAAACACTGTTGGTAACTAAAATACAAAAAGCTGAGGTAGCTCAGTATCTCTGCAGTAGTCTGTTTTCTCTAATTAAAAACTAATCACACTGTGTTGCATATTTCTGGAAAGACACTTCTGCAGCTACATTAAGGACAGTCACAATGAAAGGTTAACAATGGTAACACCAGCCAGCTTCTCTAAAACACTTTCCCCATAGGTTTGAAATAAATCAGCCCAAGTAATGTTTTTATACTGAGCTTATGATAAAACATGTTTTTCTTGAAACTGCCTAGACTGTTCTCTGCAGTTGCCAGAAAGGAAAGGTTTTGAACTACACAATTCAGACCCAGAGAACTTTGGTCCAAACAGATCGATTCAAAAGTCTGTCCTCCGATTCTCCCAACATTAACAATGCTTTGCATGGACCAAGTTGTGAAGCCTAGTTTTAGTTTTATTTTCAAGTGAGCTTGGGCTCCAGGACTTTGACCAACTATAGTGTCTTCTTACCTGCACTGCACAGTCCAAGCTATATTACAAACATGGAACTTCAGAAACAAACCTGCCAGTATCAAACTTGGTTTTCTTAAAAGGACTCAAAATAGAAAACCAGGAAATGGTGGGAAAATGCTTCATTTTTAGCAACACAGAAGAGTTTCACTGTGTAACGTGTTTCTAAAACAAATATATACCAATGAAAAAGGAATTTCACCATTTTGGTAAAGTATGTGGCTTTTTCAGTGTGTCTTAGTTTAGTTCTGTAGAGTAAGACAGGCATTATAGAACCATAATACTGGTTGCCATCCAATGAAGAGAATATAAATCATCCTTTTGGAGATCTTCACTCTGAAGACAGCTTTCTAACATTGCCATTTGTTATAATCCAAACCAACTGATTAGCCTTATCTTTCTCAATTGACTAAAAGGCACATTAAAGGCAGTTCTAGAGAGCCTCATCTTCAAATTACTGTACATCCAGTTACTCAAGATTCCTACCAAAATGCATCATTGCCTTCTTTAGAACAGATTTTTTTTTGTCCATTACCCCAGAGAAGAGAAAAATTGGAAAAAAAAAATTAAAAAAAGGTTGCCTGTTTAAAAATATTCAACTTAGATCTGCTCTTTCCAGTCCTCTTGTATGTGTTGGTCTCCACTTAGCCTGAAGTTTCCCCAAAGATAATGCATGTAGAGTGAACAAGAGCAGAAATGAGAACAGTTTCTGTAGCACCAAAAATCTCCAAGCTGTGGCATTGTATTCTTTATTTATATCAGATACAACTATACGAAGTTCCGTTTGGTTCTTGTAGGCTGGTTGGTTTCAGGTACCTGAGACAATAGCACCAAATTCAACAGAAAGAAAAAGAGAGAGCACTTAAGACCAAGGCTCTGCACATACTTGGTGCAAATGGAAACTGAATGGCTCAGAGGACTGCTCTCCCATTGAGCAGTTAAGAGAGGATAAACCCACCCATCACGACGAGTTCACAGGAATGTTTCAAACACATGAACTGTTCTTTCCATCTCCTGCAATAGATACAGAGCAACAATTATACATAAATATAAAGAGACAGAAATAGTTACATCATTGTATTTACTAGGCTTTTTTTTTTAAATCTGAACAAATTATTAATACAAAAATAGATATTTCTGTTTCTCAGCTGCTATCTGCTAGCAAAATATGGTAAAAGAGGAAACTAATTAAAGAAGTATTAATCATAGAAAGGTTTGGGTTGGAAGGGACCTTAAAGATCATCTCGTTCCCACACCCTGCCATGGGCAGGGACACCTTCCACTAGACCAGGTTGCTCAAAGCCCCATCCAACCTGGCCTTGAACACTTCCAGGGATGGGGCATCCACAGCTTCTCTGGGCTGCCTGTTCCAGTGCCTCACCATCCTCACCGGGAAGAATTTCTTCCTAATATCTCATTTAAATCTTCCCTTTTCCAGTTTATAGCCATTGCCCCTACCGTCCTACCAGTACATGTCCTTGTAAAAAGTCCATGTTCCCCCCAGCTTTCTTGTAGGCCCCTTTAGGTACTGGAAGGCTGCTCTAAGGTCTCCTCGGAGCCTTCTCTTCTCAAGGCTGAGCAACTCCAACTTTCTCAGCCTGTCTTCACAGGAGAGGTGCTGCAGCCCTCTGATCATTTTTGTGGCCCTCATCTGGACTCACTCGATCAAGTCCCTGTCCTTCTTATGTTGGGGGCCTCAGAGCTGAACGCAGCGTGCAGAATGCAGAGAAGCACACCACTATGAGAGTCCGTGAGAAAACTGAAGTGTATTAGGGTCACTTATATAATTACTGTACTCAATATGTAATAAGAAGGAATTGCAATGGCACACTGCATGATTTCAAGTCTTACTGCACACCTATGCTATTGGTGACCCAGCTCTAAACACATACCTGCACAGTTTGGAGAATCAAAGTAAAGATCGGTCTCTACATACTCTTGCTGGATAAATGTGGTTTTAATCTCCCTAACATTTGGCACAGACTTTCAACATATTTTTAGGTGAAGATGGCAGAGGAATACATGAAAAGTATTTTGCAGGAACTCTACAATATCCCATGCTAAGGCCTTTCCAGGTTTTGTTGTAAAATATTTAGCATTCAGTGATCCAACTGGAAACTAGCAATTGTCCTTTTTTCAGCAGGGTTGGTTATCAGGTGAATCAGCAAGCGGATCCAAGCCCCTCTACAGCTAGAACAATGATGTTGGAGGGAATGGATATCCAGAGTCATGATCAGCCTATGCCAATGGTGAAATGACCAACTTACTGTTCACACAGACAGGAGGCCTTTGATAGCAAACACTTTAGAGGCAAAGGATGACAGCAAAGCAGACAACTGGCTTACATCATGCTGTACTGGACTTTCCCAAGGGTATACTTACCAATCTAGAGAAAGTTTGCAAACCTTTACGGTCTTGTATGAAAGTCACAATCGGCAAACTGCATGGAGCACAGGTATATAATTTTTTTGGCCTAGTTAAGCAAACGCAAGTAAGGGCAACTGCAGCACCATTGGCTCAGCGTGCCTATAAAGTAGCCACTTTACATCCACTGTTATTCATACCACAAATGTGGAAACTGCATCTAGTCTTTTTACTCTGCTAGCATGTGCTTCTCCATGTTGCTGTATTCTCTACTCTTTTTCCTCCATTCTTTTAGGTTAAATTCTTAATCCTTTTCTGAGAAAAGTATTATTAGAAACAACCTCTGTTTTTTAAGTCATTACTACACTAAACTTTTTTCTGCTTATAGGTACCTTCCTTGAAGTCTATTTAAAGCTTTTGCCTGCTAGTACAATAAACTGATAGATTAATAGTTCTTGAAAAAACAGTCTCACAAAATTTAGATAAAGAATAAAAGAAACTGTACAATGTCACCTCTATAAGTTGTGATTTGTCATAGTCTCTACGATGTCTGTAGATGCACTGACTAAGGAGTGAATATAATCTCTCAAGTTGGTCAACAGTCAGGTTGTCACTTTTCTTAACCACCAAATCAAGCAGTTTCTGTTGGAACAAAAGGTGAAGTTAAGAGGGTTTTTATAATCAGTTTTTTTATTTATTTTTTTTTTTAAGGACAAATCAGAAGTGCAATCTCCTTCTTAAGCTCTACTTTGGAGGGATACATACAAATAAAATGGATCACACCTGGATATCAGTAAGGCCACTGCTTCCATGTAGATCCAAAAAGGAGTCAATGCCTCTTCACTTCTCTGCTTATACCCACACTTTTTTTTCCTGTATTAGATTTTATACTCAGTGTAGCTGGGGCAAGTTTGTTCTGTTTGAATGAAACTTCATCCTATTTCACCTTGGTCAATAATTATGACAAAGCAAACCATAAAAACTGCCTTGATAGCTAAAGCAGACATTTTTAAGAACTTGCATTGGCATGAAATTGTAAGTACCACCAAATGGAAACACATTTGGAATTCCACAAATGTTGAAAAATGGTACAATAAAAGAAGGGGAGGGGACAACACATGTAAAACTGCTCATAAACAAAAAGTGAAAGTCTTGATTTTCCATAGTAGCAGAGAGTAAAATTTAAGAATTTTTTTCCTCTCATAACACTTCTATTGTTTCCAAAGAGATTATCATCTGTACTCCACAGCAAACGGGATCTAAATTTCATAGAAGGTCAAGCTAGTTTCTACAACAGAAGACAGCAAATTTTGTTATAACTTTGCTTAAAAAGAGACAAAACTGAAAGAAAATTAACTAGCAGGGGTTTAGGCATCAGTCTATGATGCCTAAACATCAGCACAAATTCCAATTTGCTCTGCAATCCACTAACGGTTCTTTCCAGCAAATATACGTACACGGGAAGGGAAAGGATGATGTTAATTCCTAATTGCTAGGCACCCAGCAGTTCGTCAGTAACTGGCATGTCCAATTAACACATATGAGTACCTGCAAAAATTGCAATTAAAATAGTGGACTGCTGTGCCATTACTGGATTTGTAACAGTAGTAATGATGGGACAGTAAGGATTCAGTAGTTTTACTAACTTTTCATCCAAAAAATACTAATCAACAAATCATCTTCAAAAGTTACCGCTGCCGTAATACTTGTTTGCAGTCAAAAATAAACGAAATGTTGCTTCAGAACAGAGAAAAGAAGCATTTTTCATGCAGTCTGTTTATTAACAGACAGGCCAATTTATTTTTCGGTTCCATTACCTTTAGTCTGTCATGGTCAACAACTACAGAAAGTAAGGGATCCGATGGTTCCTCTGGGACCTCCTCCAAAGTGGTGGGCTTTGCCTGTTCCATAGTGACTTTTCGTGTTTTCTTGCTTTTCAATATACCTGTAATTTGAAAAGCAATTATTAGCACTGTCAGTCTCTCAAAATGAACAGCTTGTGTCTTTGGTTTGACTTTGCCTGTTTGGTTTGTTGGGTTTTTTTGAACCAAGCAAGCATGATTGTACCAGTGCACATTATTCATCAGCTTTGCAGAATTCTGAATGTTTACAGGTGCACAAAACTACAGTTCAGAAAACACATATGAAACTGGTCATCTTTAAAACTGAACTCCAAAGTCCCAACAGAAAACTGAATGTCACTGAAAGAGTCTTCCCATTGCATCATTTCTACTTAGCAATGTCAAATTATACAGCTTCTAAGGGAAGTTCAGATATTAAGCTAACGCTCAAAATCTTTCTGCTTAAGTGAATCAAATCCTCATTTTTCTCTCCAAAGCATCCCATGTCTTCATCACCACAGTAACATCTAACATCTACTCCTGAAACTTCATGCTTTTGTGACACATTTCCGCTTTCTTCCACCTCTGTATTAAAGTTGTTGTCCAATCCTGTTGTGGAGAACAAAATATTTTTATATCTCCTGATTCTCCCCCTACACCCATTCACTGGTTTTCTCCTCCTCAACTACTTAAAATGCCTTTTTTTCTGAGGACCCCCTGTTATTATAATCATCCTTAATGTATACAAAATTCAACTACTAAATTTAGAAATGTAAAGGCTCTTAACATACATCATACTCTTCCCTCTGATATTCTTAGGGCCTCTCTTCTACTATTCTCCTTACCCTTAGAGAAAATATGTATGTACAAACACAGCCAACGTATATAGTGATACTCTCATAATTCAGATCTCTCATTAAAGCTGATTTACTTTGTAAATCTCAGCGTTAACTTTTGAAGTAAAGATTTCATTCTTTTAGATAATTCTGAAAAGCTGATTAAAAAGGCAATCATGCATAAGGCTTTTATTTCTCTTCCCTGAGGAAACTACGTCTCTTGTCTTCAAAGGACATGGCCCCTTCTTTTATGCACCACCAGGATTTCCCTTCTCCTTCTCTTATCTTTTAGTTGCACTGCTACTGTGTTGACTGTAACTCCAAAGTCAGATACCTTCTCCAACAGATAAACAACAGTTTACCTGGCTTTTGCTATGACTTAAACTGCTTTAACTTTTGCTATGAGCAAATGCTTTTAAAGGAATACCGTCTGTATTTCTACAATCTTCCATCCAATGTCAATGATACTTTTATCATAAATCTCTTAATAAAACAAGTTAAAACATATCATATAGATCAAAATATAGGTCAGATAGAACACATAGACCAAAACATGTATCATATATTTATCTGCATTGATAATATTTTTTAAATCTTTACTGTTTAAATGTTAGCTCAATATTTACCGTATTTCCCATAAAGCCTACAAAAATAAACAGAATAGTGTAGGTATGGAGACACACTTACTTGCCTAAGATAACATTACAGCAAGTCAAGGGTGGACTTCTAATTTATCTATGTGGAATTAAATCTTGTAAGCATACTAAAAGTTTCAAATAGACAGCAGTTCATAAAATATTATCCTATAATAATAATAATTGTAACATAAGATACTACAATTAAAACTACACACATAAAACTTGGATACTAACATAAGGACAGAAACATTGAAAACAAGCTATACCTTCCTTATCTGCTTCGGCATCTTTAGTTTCAACGTCTGTGCTCTGTAGTGTTTTTTCATTATTGCTGCAATGTGGTAATTCAGCTTTCACTAGATCAGCTCCTTGACTTTCACTGGAAGCTTCCATATTCTCCTTTGGCTGATCTTCAGATGAAAATTTTTGCTTGTTACTAGACACATCACTGTTGTCACAGGGTAAAACAGCATGAACTGATTCCATTTTACCATTATGACATGCTGGAACAGGTATACCTTCTGAGCTGTGTACAGATGTCTCTCCATTCACACAGTCCCCTTTTGATGTAGAGTCCTTCCTTAATTCCTTTTCAGCACTCAGATTAACACTGTCGGTTATTAACAGGGATTCATTTGAGCTCTCTTCTTCTGTGGATGCAAAATTGTTTTCCTTTCCTGATGTCCCATTGTTAAGCCTCTGTTCTGCATCTATATCCATAATATCACAAGAGGATTCATCATTTGTCATAGAGAGATCTCCTGTTTCCTCCCCATTCTCCTCAATGCAGTCAGTGCTGATCTCTAGCTCTCCGTTTTCCAGCAATTTACTGTCCTCTCCATGATTTTCATCATCAGCAAACTTTGCATCATCTTCATCTTTCTTTAAATTATTGACTTTCCTCTTCTTAATAATGCCTTTGCCCCACTGTGAGCGTCGTCTTGATTTTCTCCTTATTCGAACTGAATTACAATGAAAAAAAGAAATTTTTTAGATGCACAGGTACCCCTCAGTAAACAGACTAGGATATTAGAATAAGCTGTAGTGTGTGAGGCAATCAAATGTGTTCATGTTTCAAGGAAAAAGCAAGCTGTCTGTTGATTTCAATGTCAGCAATTATAGCTACCAAGGACTTTTAGAAGTATAAGGAGTGAACACTCAGTCATGTACACAATTCCTACTCTAAACTATGGCAACAAGGAAGACTTGCTAGCTTTTCCTACTTAATGTATTTTATATATACCCATTTGTAGGTAAAACACTAAAAGAAAACAGCTAAGCAATGACATAGAACTCAGGCAGTCATTCTCATTTGCGTAATGCAGGCAGTTATTCTCATTTTCCCTTTTTAGAACCTCAGTGGTTTGAAATCATTATACAACGAAACAAATGGAAGTGCAATCCATGGATTGATAGAATAATTCAGGTTGGAAGGGACGTCAGGAAGTATCTAGTGCTATCTACTACTCAAAACAGCATCAGCTACGAGGGCAGATCAGGTTGTTCAGGGTTTTATCCAGCCATGTATTGAAAACCTCCCTGGACGTAGACTAAGTGACTTTCATGGGCATCCCCCGTACCAATGCATAATTGTCATAACAGTGAAAAGGCTTTTTGCCCTATATCCAGTCAGCACCTCTCATTTCAATTTATGGCCACTGTCAATTCAAAGACATCTTCACTGTTTAAATTGGCTGAATCTCCTCAATCTTCTATTCATTCCCACCTCTGCACTGAAGTTCAATGCATCAACAAAACGTGGTTTTAAAAAATGAGGACCTTTGCTTTAGACCCGGACCATTTAGCAATGCTGTCTACAGCAAGACCTCACAAACATCTGCATTTATGCAATGAGTTTGTAAGCAGAAGCAGCAGCATAGGTCCTTAAACTAGCCTAAACAATGCCTTCCCTCCATATATGCAACTCAACTTTAAGCAACATGGGCATATGATCCTTTTTTCATTACTTCTGCATCATTACCATTTCATTTTTCCTATTTCCTCTTTGTACTTTCTGTGCTTTTGAAAAATCACATAATAATCTTTTTTTCAGAAAGGGCATTTTTTTACTCACCTATTTGCAGTGAGATACAATTAAGGCACCAATCTAAAAGAGGTTTTGGGGCACATTTGCAATATGATCAGCAAATACAAAAGGAAGACTATTCAAACCTAATGGTATTGTCAACATCCTCTTCAAGAGCACTAACAAGACACAGCTCAGAAGTCTAAGGAAGAGATTGGAAAAAACTGAAAATTCTACATTCAAATTCAAGTAATGATGCAGACTGCTCATATTTTTGCAAAATCGCTACAGTTGCAGCCAAGTGATTATAACTGAAAATCACAGCCAATATAGTTACTAGAGATTAACAAATCTCCTTCCATTTCAAAATGAACTCCTATGTTGAGCACCTCATATATGGGACTATATCTGTCTGTCAACCTCACACTGAGGTTACAAAGATCTTGCTTTGAAGATACAAGCACTATGCAGGTATAAGTGTTGAGAATTAATTCAGAGAAGCATAGTTGTACTTCAGAATTTCCTCCCCATGAGTGGCATGTGTAAGCAGGTAGTTTAACCACCACATTAGGAATAAATCTTAACCTTTTAGCTATAAAGCTATCTAAAGATACAATCACATTGCAATAAAAACATGGTCTCATTTAGAATGTGTATTTATTGTTACAAATAATCCTTATGGAGAACTATAAGCTCTGAGGAAAAAATCCTCTTTCTCCAGCTATTCTGTAGATTTGATAGTGGCTTCTACAGTCAGTGTCATTGTTTTACTGATGACAAACTACAACCTATTCACATATCTTTTCAGGAGCTCATGTAATTTTTCCCTAGATTGTGCAAGAGATGTTCATTAATAACAGAAGCAGCAAATCTGAAACGAAACAGGGAGATGTAAACTTACAGACAAAAAAATCCTCCTATTAGGCAGTGGGTTTAGTCTCAGATCAACTTCAAAGATGGGTAAATAAAACACAGAAGAGGAGTAAAAGTCTTTTAAAACAAATCTAGTATGTCCTCAAGTGTGTAAATTAATAAGAAAGTAGACATTTTTAAATTCACACTGATTTTGGCTTTTTAGGCTGACTTTGCTGTAAGAGTCAGATACAATGTCAAATATATTTTACATTCATTATATCAATGAATTGTACTTAAAATATGCATATTTTACTAGCACATCTGTTTTGTCCACCCTGTGAGCTCTACCTGGGATGAGAACGCATCATTTGCCTAAACACACAGGTACATTCCTAAAATTCCTAAGTGTGGGAGAAATCACATTAAAGTAAAATGGAATTAATCTTTGTATTACACATTTAATTAAATTTCAAGTCTTCCTAAATTACAGGCAGCAAGTCTGGCTCACACTCTCTCTCTCTCATGCAGTACTATTCAAACATACATTGTGCATGTTGTTTTTTATTGCTGTTTTTAATTAGGACAAAGCAATCACAAAAACTGCCGCAGAAGATGTCCTCCTAGGAATTCCGAGGTTTACACTGCACCAAAAATCAGTAAACACAGAAAATTTTTCTGCTACCTCATCAAAATATGCACATAAAGCAGAGCTTTGGTTGAAACATTGCTATTATTATAAAACTGGTGTTATGTCACAATATTAAAAAAAAATTGATATTGCCAACCAGCTCCTGAGATTTAGGGAAGAAGAACAGCATTTCCTTGGCAGATACTGCAGAACATGCCCTCCTAACATTTAACAGTATTTGTACTGACAAAAGCAATAATCTAGCTACTTTGGGTTTTCAGCCACATTTAGTCAACAGCAGTTAATGCTAAAGTTTTTCCCTCCCAGAGTCTTATTAGTTCTTATTTCAAGGCAGTACCATCATCGCCTGAGCCACTCAGACCTGTAACCAACAGGTGACCAACACTTCTAAAATCCTGATTCTTTTTGTCCCTATACTTCTAGGAATCAACCTTTTTTCCCCCATCATTCAAATAAAAGCCTTCCTGCTTTCAACTCCTTCCATCCCAGCCACTGAAGCCTTTTCTCCTCAGGCTTTCATAAACTCACCTAAATCTCTCATTTGAATTTATATAACACAAAATTGCCCATGTCATTTTCATGACCTCAGTGAGATTCTTAGTCCCCTACCTAATAAATCTTTGAGCCCATTCAACAGTGTTTACCTTCTTGATTGTATCAAAAGTAGACTTCTAGTCTTCACCTTTAAACTGTCCCTTCAAAATTATGTCTTTTGGTTCGCATCTAGGCTGCATTGCTCTGTGCAAAGGAATGTCTTTTGGGATCTGAGAAGAAATTTTGGTTCCAGATCCATAGCACCCACAACATCATTAGACAGATTTTTCTTTTATACAGACAGCCAAGCTTCTAGGAAGAGCAAAAAGTTGAGCAAGGAATACATTTTAAAAAAAACCCCACACTCAGTCTCTCCTTCTGTCCTGCCCACTTCCCCCAGTAAAGCTAAGGGAGTGGTACAAGTAGGAGTGTTTAATGGCACAGGGAACCATGTGACCAAATGTAGACGTTAACACTAGATTTCATCACCTAGATTGATCAACTTTACATTTACTGGAGAGAGAAAGGCACTACTATGACAGTAACACGGACCTGAGAAGCTGTCATATGAGGCAGAAAAAAAGTAAAATTTATCTCTGAATCCTGCAAGACAATTGAGTATGATTCAAAAAAGAAGGAGCTACCACAGGGTAAAACTGATGCAAAACTAAAGGGCTAACAGGCAGGAACTAATGCGTTAATGGATTGCTGCTAAAAAATAAACTTAACCTGGAATCCCCTGTTCTCTGTCTTAACGTTGATATTTTATAAGACTGTAAACTACCAAGAGCAGAATCCCACACTTTTTATTTTATAGTCAGTATGATTCATGACACATTAAAGTTTTCAGTAACAGAATGGGATAGCTATTTACAGAAGAAAAACTTCAAGTTCACTTTGTTAAAAAAAAATTAACAGTATATAAAATTGCAAGTTAACACCTTAAAATCTTTTCAATTTTTCCTTTTAAAACTACTCATCTGAAATCTACCCATTGATACCCAGTCTTTTGGCAGTATTTGTGCCAGTGGCAATAGAAATACTATTGTCAGAGGAATCCTGCTTTATAGAACTGAGTTTCCATAACTCGAACTATTATAATACCAATTATTCACACATGAATACATTCACTTGCCTTTTGAATAGCTGAACTCTTCTCTCTATAATCTTCACATAACCTCTACAGATTTGCCAAGGGGATCCTCACTTCAGTTCTAGCTTCTTTCTGGTTTGCTTTTTTGTAAATCATTTTTCAGAACTTTTAATGACAATAAATACCTGTTCGACCACAAGTCACACATAACATTTCACTTGGGTTCACATGAAGTAGGTATCAGAAACAAACCTTCCCTACTTTTTTTTTTCCTAAGCTACACGGTCTACACAGACAGCATTTTTTAAAAGTGCAATGTAACACAATGTAATTAATCACTGAGTACAACTTTACATTTTCTTAAGCAGTAAGTGAGGTTTCTCAATTCTTCCATTCCTATGTTGACACACTTAAAAAGTCAGCTGAAAGATCTCTAAACTTAAGGCAGATAGCATTTCCCCCAGAGGTGGCCTTCCATGATTAAAACAGAAATTCTGTACTTACTTCAGAAGGACTAGCCCACTAGGCATAAGTTAAGTAAAATCAAACCAGTAGCAGACTTTCTGAAATTCTGAATTCTTGCTCACTGACAGGTTCTGCTTGGAGATCTTCAAGTCAGATACACCAAGTAATGACAACATCTTCTTGTGAAATAAGCACCCTTATCTAGGGGTACACACCAACCCTGTCCAGAGCAGAGTACAGTTCTTGCATATTCAAGAACGCTGATAGCCAAAAACACCTCAAAACAATATGAACAAAAAAAATCCAAATCCTTCACCCATTCCTGAAGTACTTCTGCAAG